TAGTTTGTTGCACTTATTGTATTCATACTAGTTTGTTGCACTTATTGCATTCATACTAGTTTGTTGCACTTATTGTATTCATACTAGTTTGTTGGACTTATTGTATTTATATTAGTTTGTTTCTGTACATTTGCTCTGGTTTATGGTCTTAGATGCTTGTTTAAAGGAGATGCACTTATGACTTCTGGTGACTAGTTGTTCTCTTGAATACCTATGTTGAATACACTTATTGTAAGTCGCTTTGGATAAAAGTGTCTGCTAAATGACTGTAATGTAATCTAATGTAATGTAACATCTTTAGTTTTAAGATGGACTTGAAAAACCTCCCTCTAGACTCTTACTGTACGTAAATCATACGTGCTTTCAATCACCCAACTCCCGCTCTCGTCTTGGTTGGTTTTGTACATTTATAAATGAGCTGCCTGTGTTCAACACGTTGTAAAATATGATGACAGCTTCAGTCGAAAAACCTCAATAGAAGCTTTGAATGTAAAAAATAAATGAAAGAAAGTTGACATTAGCATTAACTTAAAAGTCACAGAGCGTCCTTATCTTCTGTAACGTGAAATATTTCTGTACCGGACAGAAGGTGTCGTATACCAGCTAACAGCTTACCTGAGTGTTGTGTATGTGAGCAGTTTCTCTGCTCATCAATTGGAAGGCTTACCAACTCCTCTGTGGGCATCGAGGCTGGTGTATTCGATGGTTCCATTGTGACCCTTCTTGGGGTTCTCCTTGTATTCTTTGTGGACTCCATCAGGACAGTATCTGTAGGACAGCCCATAGTCTGCTAGATAGACCTACAGGACACACACACACACATTACAAAGTGATTCAACAGCATAGCCCGTGATTGCATTTTATACATAAAGTGTGTATTCTGTAGAATGGAGCAGACCTCACAACACCTGGTCATTTTAGTCTCAGGACTACTTTTCAAGGAACTAAAAGTTTCTTCAGCCCATTGTTGCCTTTCCATAGACGCCTAAAGACCCGGAGACTGATGAGGGCTGCTGGGGGTCAAAAGGTGAACAAACTCTGCAGCCTGCAGTTCAGTGTTTCATCTAAAAATCTCAAATAAAAATAAACCCTTGTTTTGTGCCACTGCAACGTAATTTACTGCTGTGTAGTATTTACTGATGCACGTTGGATGTAATGAATGAAATGCAGAGCAGAGAATCACCTGTTGAGTGTTTGATGCTTATGTATTTGTGCTTTAGAAAAGATTTTTTTTCCTCTCATTTACAGCTCCGTGCTGTCTCCCCTCTGGTCTACCGCTCGCACCATCTCCCTCTCTTTTTCTTCTCAGTCCTTTTTAAATTGAGTCAGAAAGTTGAACATAAACCTAACTTCACTTTTACTTGTTATTAATCAAAGAGGAATATTCTCCCCTCGTCCTAAAATGGTCGTAAAATTTAACTGCAGTACTTTCTTTTTTTTAAGAAGTAATCAATACAGTTGAAGCAGCGGCACTGTGTGTGTTTGACCAATCAGCGACGGTCATCCATGCAAACCTCATCCAGAAAGTTCCTATACATTCAGAAAGTACTATCCCCCTGACCAGAGCCTTTTTGGGGGGGGTGAAATGTCCCCGGAACTGAATTTAGACACTGCGGATGAAGCGTGTTGTGTTCCTCGTTCCTGCGGCTGAAAAAGATGCTTCTTATGCACACAAAAGATAATAAGCGCAGCTCTCTTGTGGACTGACCTGTTCAGGGTCTCTGCAACCAAGCATGAGGTTGGCAGCTTTAATGTCAGCATGGACATACTCATTCTCATGAATGTACTCCAGTACATCCACCTGGCACAGGCAGAAAACAGAGGATACACACACAAGAGGAATGACAATCATGATGAGGAGATTGTAATGATTTAGAAGTCAACGTCAGAGGTTTGTTCTGTTCAACTCATGGTTAAAGAGGGGTCATTATCAGACCAGATCCAGCTTCTTCATACAACAATCAATGAACATAGAACATGAAGATGATCTCACCAGTCTTCGACCGAGTTGGAGAACGGTGGCCTTCTTCAGTTGACCGCTGCTGCGCTCACAGATTTTCTGAAGGTCACTGCCCAGTCGGTCCATGGTCATGAAGCGATACCTGAGAGGACGAGTAAGACATCAGAGGTCCACATCTTTTTCTTTTCCTAGTTCTGAATAACATCTCAGCTCCTAATTCCTGATATATAGACGTCTCTTTGGTTTGAGAATATTGTCAAAAGAAGAACAAGGTTTGAATCAGACATTTAGCACCCTTTATTTACCAAGCTTTACCAATGTACCAAGTCTTACCAATGTACCAAGTCTTACTAATGTATCAAGGCTTACCGAAGTACCAAGCCTTACCAATGTACCAAGCCTTACCAATGTACCAAGGCTTACCGAAGTACCAAGGCTTACCAATGTACCAAGGCTTACCAATGTACCAAGTCTTATCACGGTACCACGTCTTATCACTGTACCAAGCCGTACCAATGTACCAAGTCTTATCACTGTGCCAAGTCTTACCGAGGTACCAAGGCTTACCAAGTACCAAGTCTTACCGAGGTACCGAGTCTTACCATGTACCAAGGCTTACCAAGTCTTACCGAGGTACCAAGGCTTATCAAGTCTTACCGGGGTACCAAGGCTGACCAATGTACCAAGTCTTACCGAGGTATCAAGTCTTGTCGAGGTACCAAGTCTTAACCATGTACCAAGTCTTACCGAGGTACCAAGTCTTACCGAGGTACCAAGTCTTACCAATGTACCAAGTCTTACCAAGGTACCAAGTCTGTAACCAAGTGGAACTGATGGGTTGAAACTATTGGGTCTGCCGGACCGGTAATGGAGGTGCATGGTCCTGATTAGGTGAAAAGATGCACCTGCTGGCAAATCGCGTCCTTTGTCTTTCTCTCCGCCGTCACAAGCGCCTGTGCTGAATCTGCTCTCTGTCTCCGCCGCCACAAGCAGGGGTGCCGAATCCAACTACTTTCTCTCCCACAACAAGCGGAGACGTAGCGTGAGGTGATTCGGCAGAATAAAAAAAATCACTTTCTTTGGGTTACGCGAGGAGGCGTTGAGGTGGGAAGATGGGGAACCAGCGGTTGGTCAGATTCGGTGGGTGACAAACTCATGTGAGATGGGAGCTGTGGAGTCCAATACAGTGGTTGCAGCTGCTCTCCCCGAACCTGACCCACTGCTGGTGGAAATTCTGCAAACTTTAAAGCAGCAGCAGGTCCAGGTTGAGAGCACGCTGAAGAAACAGCAGGCTCAGATTTTTGATTTGGCACAGAAAGTGTCTGATTTGTCCGGTCTAGGGATTAGCCGGCCAGGGGTACGTGGGGAGCAGCCAAGGTTTGACGCTGATGGTCAGCCTATTTGTTTTAAATGTCGGGTTGCGGGTCACATGGCGCGACAGTGTCGGGTAGGGGCTCCAAACAGAGGGGTGCTCCGGTGTTGCGCCATGAGGTCTCCCGTGACAGGTTTGCCCATGTAGCTGAGCAGCAGGGAAACTCTCCCCCCCTGTGGTAATGAGTCCAGCTACAGGTGAGGTTCAGTCAGGCTCACACTTTGAAGTTCCAAAGGAGGAATATGAATGTTTGGTCGGCAAATGTCCAACTGTGGAAATTTTGTTGGGTGATGTGAAAGTTGAATGCCTCCTAGACACTGGGTCTAACGTGTCAACTATTACAGAGACATTTTTGAGCAGCATTTTAGGCCAACTCTTAAAACCTGAGTGGCTTTCCCCGTCGTCGGCAAATGGGTTGGGCATTCCTTACCTGGGGTATTTCGAGAGGGATGTCTGTGCCTTGGGCAAGGTTGCAAACGGGAGGGGTATTCTGGTTGTTCGGGACCCTACGGACACCGCGACATTACATCGGAAAATAGCTGTTCCTTGCATATTGGGCATGAACGTAATCAAGCGGTTTTATGAAATGGAGCAGTTGGCATCAGAGGCCGAGCAGGATTCGGCGTCTGATTCGGATGAAGTGTGGGGTTTGGCGTTCTCGGTTTGTCAGCAGGAGCAGGCTGTTTCACCTATAGGCTTTGCCTATTCCACCGTACATTTCTGTGTTCCGACTGAATCCATGCATTTTGTACCTGTGTCAGTTCCACCTGGGCAGACTTTGTTAGCCTCATTTGTGTGTGTGGAGTCATTGGGGGCTGGGGAGGGGAGCCTCCCGGGGGAGTTACTCGTTTCCAATGCAGTGGTTCCAGTGGAGAATGGACAGGTTGCGGTGCCGGTGGTGAATGTAGGGCATGTGGATGTGAACATTGCATCTCAGACCTGCCTTTGCCCAATACATTCAGTGGAAGTGGTGTCGGGTGGTACTGTCCCTGTATCATTTGAACGAGTAGGGCCGCAGGAAGAGCGAGTCTTTTTGTGCGAACGGACTGGTGGGGTTGCGGAGCGGCAGCAGCTGCCCCCGGAGGTAGCCACACAGGAATTTCCAGGGCTGACTGTTGAACAGGTACGGAAAGTGAGGCAGCTCCTGAGTAAACATTCTGGGGTCTTCGCAACGTCAGACATGGATTTGGGGTTTACAAACGTGATAGAGCATGAGATTCCAGTCCTGGATGAAGCCCCGGTTATGCAGCGCTACCGGCGTATACCCCCAAGTCAGTATGAGGAAGTCAAAACGCATATAGCACAGCTATTGCAGCAGGGCATTATCAGGGAAAGCAGTAGTCCCTACTCCTCCCCCTTGGTGATAGTGAGGAAGAAGGATGGGTCGCTAAGGCTCTGTGTGGATTACAGGCAGCTTAATGCGAGAACACGGCGAGATGCGTTCCCTCTTCCACGTATCGAAGAGTCCTTGGATGCTTTGAGTGGGGCAAGGTGGTTTACCACCCTGGACCTGGCGAGTGGTTACCATCAAGTGGGAGTGGCTGAGAAAGATTGCAGTAAGACTGCATTCTGCACTCCTTTTGGCTTGTATGAATTTACACGGATGCCATTTGGGCTCTGTAATGCGCCAGGTACCTTTCAGCTGTTGATGGAACGAATTTTGGGGGATCAGAGGTTCCAGTCACTCCTCCTGTATCTGGATGACATTGTGGTGTTTTCGTCTACCATTGAGCAGCACATTGAGCACCTAGATTTGGTGTTGTCCCGGCTGGGGCAGTTTAATCTCAAGGTCAAGTTGAGTAAGTGCTCATTCTTTCAGTCCGAAGTTGTTTACCTGGGACATGTCATTTCAGCTACTGGAGTGGCTACTGATCCAGAGAAGATTCGGGCGGTTGCAGAGTGGCGTCGACCACAGAGTGTGGCGGAGTTGAAATCATTCCTGGGTTTTGCTAGTTTCTACAGGAGGTTTGTGAGAAACTTTGCTAAATTGGCAGTCCCGCTCCACGCTCTGTCCACACTGCTGTCAGCTAAAGGGGGTAGGAAAGCCTCTTCGCTCCCCGTGTTTGGCCAGTTGTGGGATGCAACCTGTGAAGATGCTTTTGAAACATTAAAACCAAAGTTAATTTCCGCTCCCGTGTTGGGGTATGCAGATTTTAGCAAGCCATTCTTCCTGGAGATTGACGCTAGCCATCAAGGGTTGGGGGCTGTTTTGTCGCAAGAGGGGGAGGGACAGCGACGGCCGGTTGCATACGCAAGTCGTGGCCTCCGGTCATCGGAGCAGAATATGGAGAACTATAGCGCCATGAAACTGGAGCTGTTGGGGTTGAAGTGGGCTGTTACGGATAAATTTAAGGATTATCTGATTGGGAACAAGTTTACAGTGTTTACTGAGCTATTTGAACACCGCAAAGCTTGGAGCTGTAGAACAGAGATGGGTGTCTGAACTTGCTCAGTTTGACTTTCAGTTGGTGTATCGGCCAGGTAGCCAGAATGCAGGGGCGGATGCTCTCTCTAGGCAGTATGCAGAGCAGAAGGGGACAGAGGGGGGAGGAGTGGCACAAAGTTTTCAGGACACACGTAGTGTTCTGTCCAAACCCCATCGAACGGCTCTGTGTCAGGAAACCAGTGCCAGCCCCCAGCAAGCTTCTATGTCTAACTTTCCCTCATTTGACATGTCGGCCTTGGCTAGTCTGCAGCAGGTAGATTCCATAATATCATCTTTTCGAACATACTGGGTGAGGGGTGTGAAACCTTGTAGGGACGAGAGGTTGCAGGAATGTGACAGAACAATTGGACTTTTGAGACAATGGGGAAGGATTGTGAAGCTGGGGGGTGTGCTGTACCGGACGCTGTGTGATCAGAAGGAGGGAGAAATTAAGCAGCTTTTGTTGCCAGCAGTATTACACCGAGAGGTGCTTGCTCGCATGCACACTGACCATGGGCACCAAGGGGTGGAAAGAACATTCAAGTTGGTTCGAAGTCGGTGCTATTGGCCGGGAATGTTTGCAGACATTGAGGCTTTTTGTAAGACTTGTGAACATTGTATTGTTTCTAAAGCACCACGGCCAAGGGTGGTTGCAGGGTTGGGGAGTCTGTTGGCTTTTAGGCCGCTGGAAGTAGTTGCAATGGACTTCACCGTGCTGGAACCGTCGTCAGATGGATGAGAGAATGTCTTGGTTTTTACCGATGTGTTCTCCAAGTTTACGGTTGCGGTGCCAGCCAAAGACCAGCGTGCAGTAACGGTCGCAAAGACCCTGGTGAAACATTGGATTCAGCCCTATGGGGTCCCTTCAAGGTTGCACTCTGACCAGGGGAAATGCTTTGAGGCTGGGGTTGTCCAGTGTCTCTGTGGGTTGTATGGGATGAAAAAAAGTCGAACAACCCCCTATCATGCCCAGGGGAACGGACAGTGTGAGCGTTTCAATAGGACGCTGCATGATCTGTTGCGTACCCTGCGCCCGGAGCAGAAAAGGAGGTGGGTTGAGTACCTTCCGGAGCTGGTGTATGCTTATAACACCACTGAACATCAAAGTACTGGCTACTCGCCGTATTTTCTCATGTCCACTGGAGAGTGGTTCCGCTGGATGTCTGGCTGGGACAGGATAGGGAGAATTTTGACGGTAATGTGCATGAGTGGGTTGAGGAGCATCAGAGGAGGTTGGGCTGTGCCTACGCTCGGGCTAGAAAGAACATGGAGCATGCAGCGGAAGCTCGTAAAAGGTATGCAGGCACGCCTGTAGGTGACCATCCTTTATAACCAGGCCAATTTGTGTATGTAAGGAATCGTCAGTTTTCAGGTAGGCATAAGATTCAGGATGTGTGGCTTCCCACCCCTCACCGAGTCATAGCTCAGCTGGGTGGTGACCTGCCTGTGTATTCTGTTGTCCCGATTGATTTCTCGAAACCCCAACGCAATCTACATAGAAATGAGTTGCGCGTTTGTGGTCCAGGCGTACAGATGGATGGGCAGGAACCGGGGGACTGGGGAGTGGCTGGGTCCTCACTTCCTGAGGTGGAGTCCGATTCGGACGACTCTCTGCTTGCGATGGTCTGTAACCAAGTGGAACTGACGGGGTGAAACTATTGGGTCCATTGGACCGGTAATGAGGTGCACGGTCCTGATTAGGTGAAAAGATGCACCTGCTGGCAAATCGCGTCCTTTGTCTTTCTCTCCGCCGTCACGAGCGGCTGCGCTGAATCTCCTCTCTGTCTCCGCCGCCACAAGCGGGGGTGCCGAGTCCAACTACTTTCTCTCCCACAACAAGCGGAGACGTAGCGTGAGGCCGCATAAGTTGCGTCGGTAGCGCAGTGTCTGGGAGGCATCAGTTACGGAGGGGACAGCGTGTGTTTGGGGATGGCTGATTCAGGTATATATATTTTTATGTATTTCATGTGCTGGGGAAATTCGGTACAATTAAGGAATATGTAATGTTGTATTTGTGTTATTTTAGAGCTTCCTGAGCAGTGCACCCAATGGTAGCTGGGGGGGAATCCAAGTGGGGGTGGCTGGGTTGCTGAACAGGTGGGTTGAAGTATAATCTTTTGGGTTCGTTTTCTGTTTATTGGCAGTTATTTGTGATTACTTATGTTTTCGTTTTCATTTCTTTTCTAGTTAGTGGGACGCTGCCTTGGTCTTTTGTTTTGTTTCTTTAAATTGTTTGTGATGCCGATCTTAGCGCATGGTCTGTGAACTCCTCCTGCCCGCTAAACCAGCTGTCACTGGTTACTCCACCTAGTTTTGTACCAATAAAGTATTTATATTTTCACAACACTGCTTCCTGTGTACGTGCCTTTACGGTGTTTTGAACTGGGTGTCTGTGGTAACGGGGTGCTACATTACGGAGGTACCAAGCATTACCATGTATCAAGTCTTACCAATGTACCAAGTCTTACCGAGGTACCAAGGCTTACCGAGGTACCAAGGCTTACCAATGTACTAAGTCTTACCAATGTACCAAGTCTTACCAAGGTACCAAGGCCTACCAATATACCAAGTTTTATCAAGGTAAAGAAATAAAAAAGGGTAAAAGGATGATTTTGAATGCAAAAATAAAAAAAAAGCTATCCAGCATTTGTGCCAATTCTTGCAAACCATTTTTTTTAACATAGAGGGAGAGCAAACAGCAAAATGTGACCCCAGTCTGTGTGTGAGAGGGGATTCAGCTGTGTACGCAGAATCAAGACAGACTGGAGGTCATCTCTGAAAGCAGAAATGATGGACGAGCTGACGCTGGTGTCACTTGAGGAACCCACAGCCCAAGATCAGCTCAAAGGTCCAGAAAGGAGAACTGATGTACAAGCGACCAGTGACTTTCTGATTTCAAGTGTCCCATGGAGCAGGGGTTCTTAACCTTTTTGACCTCGGGGCCCAACTTTTCAAGTACAAAGTGTCCCGGGGCCCATTCAAATATTAACACTATTAGTTTAACTAATTGATCTCACTCTTGGTTTGATTTGTATTCAATAACTATATACTTACCTGTTCAACTCCACCCCTATTTTGGAGCAAAACCGCCTAAAATGACATACCCAAATTAAAATGGCTGTAGCTTCTGAACCACTCTGACTATATGCATCAAAAGTGTCAGAAAACCTGTAGGTCATACAGAAACAGAGCAGTGGGCCTTTGGAGTCAGTAAAAATTGAAGATTTTTGTCCGCATAAAATAAAAAAGTATCTTTCAGTATAAATAACTGCCTGTGGCTGTATCTGTACAGGTAAAGGACAGTATAGGGCTGTAACTACACTATCAGTGAACAACTGCCTCAAATTTGAAGAAGATTGGACAAAGTATGACCATTCTACAGTGTTTCTTCCATGAAGAGATCCAGGCAGAGCTCTAAAAGGATATTTGGAGACCCAAATGGACACATGGTAACCAAATGATATTCTGACACAAAATTGACTCAAAATTCTAAAGGTGTTTCTCCCTTTATATTTTGATATTATATTATTTTCCTTTTATTTTTAGCCTTTGCAAATTGCAAAAACTATGTATATATGGTCGAAGACGTGGTGTGTGAATAGCGGACTTGGTGTGCGTAAAGGCTGCGACCGAGCGCACGATCGAGCATGCGGGTAGCTCAGTTACGCAAGGTTATACGTTGGCTGACGGCTTATAGAAGAGGAAGATAAGGTTTGTACTATAAGTACTAGCGTTTTCTGAAGCCACTACCTCCATGGTAACATCCGCTAGCACATTGTCAGGTCTGTAATGTGTCTTTTTCAGTCGAAATGCTGCAAGATCCGACTTGCAGCGGTTATGGCGACTTTGGACAGTGTGTGTTTGGGCTCCTTTTGTGAAAAATCCATAAGAAATTAAAGAAAATCAATGATTTCTTTGCAAATATGAGGATTTTGGGCATGCTGGGATACCAAACACGGCCATGTTTTGTGATGTAGTTTGCGCAAGCAAGCTGTAGGAACGGAAGGGAGGGGATCGAGGACGCCGGCGTCCTCGCGGAGTTGAACAGGCAAAACCCTTGTCAAATAAATGAGATGATACAATGTGATGATCACAAAGACATTTATTTATCATGTGTATGTAAATCTGCATACACAACAAGAAGCCCAACAGGCTTTCCCACGAGCGTTGGATGTTTCGTCGCTAGGTGTCGCTTTAGTTTCGAAGGCTTCAGTGCTTCGTTTGATAGCATTAGCCCACATTCCACACACTGAGCCCTCGGCTCTGCCTCGTTGCCTCCGTTCACAAAGCCGTACTTAAGAAAGTCAGGATTGTACTTGCGCACACATTTAGACTTTTGGGGGGGTATGGCACCACTGTGGTCTTCATTTTTTCTTTTTAAAAACGTATCCATAACTTTCGCTACAGGCTAGCGGCTAGCTGAGTGTCTTCTTCTGCTTATTGGAGCTTGTTAAACAACTGACTGACGCATTACCGCCACCAGGTGGTGGGAAGCTATATTGTAACTGAGAGTCTCATGGATAACAGTAATATCTCTGGTGTCTTCAATTGATAACCTATGCAGTCCCGCGGCCCTCGCGGCCCACAGGTGCAAAACTGAAAGTTTTTTGCGGCCCTCTAGGTGGCCCCATGGTTAAGAATCACTGCCATGGAGGACACCGGAAGGGGCGTGACTTCTCCTCTCTATTCAGATGTGCTGAGCAGATCACAATGCGTGCATTTACCCCTGATCCAAATGCTCCAGTCACAACAACATCCTCCACTTGAATACTGATGGCATCTTAAGATGCAATATATTAGAAACAAACCCATAATATAAAATGCAGAGGTTGTTTTTACACTAAAAAGGGGGCAGATATGCATTATGGTCGACGTTTAATACCTGACTTCATTATCTTCAGCGAGTCCTGAACCCCAGTACGTTGGGATTCCCAGGAAGTCCAGTTTCCTGCTTCGCTTCCATTTTTGCACTGGAACAAGATTAGAAGAAAGATAATTATGTCAATGTGTGCTTCACATTCAATTTCAACACTCCTGTGGAGTCTGAGAAGACTGAATAACAGAAGTCAAACCAACAACTATATTAAACACAAAACTAAAATGGTTGTATTGAGAAAGAAGGGAACCCCTCTTGCCTGGGACTGCTTAGTTGTTCTGATAATCAGTCTGAAGGGGATGATGGCAATTAGATGAACTTTTGTTGTTACTTATCACAATTAGTCTAATCATACCCTATGTTCGACCCCCAGTCTAACACTCTCCTTTTCCAAGAAAAGTCTGAATAAATGCCCCTAAACTTTGCGAAAAAGTAGGCAAAAGTTTTGTCTAGAATACCAATTTGTCCTTGTAAGTGTAATAATGCATGCATGCAAATATCAATCTTACAGTATTGAGGTAAACACACAACTGCAAACACACACCCAGAAGCCCTCAGACAAAGCAGTGAGCCTGGCTCATGGCAGCCGGCCTGACTGGCTCTCAACCAGGCTGGCAGGTGGTCAGGGGCTCAGCGGAGGCCCGGGCATCATTACGTGTGAGTGGCTCCCTCTCTCCACCGCCTCTCCAAACGAAGGCGTTGGAGTTCTCAGACAAGCAGCAGAGAGGGTGGGTTGGGAGTAACTGCCACTGAGGTGCATGTTTGCTTTGGCTTATTATTAATTACTGTGCTGCGGGCGGCAAAGCCTCTGTGTCTGCGGCCACTTCATCAGTCAAACGTGCTCGTGCTCCAGCGAGCTGCCGGGACGCTGGACGGGCGGTCTACTCACTGTTCTCTGGTTTGGCTGCCCTCTGGTAGAACTTGAGCTCCGAGAACAGGGGGCCGTTCTCCTGGGACTCCTGCACATGAAGGCACACGTTATGAACAGTTTCATTATCACGGGTTAAAGAAGCACCAGTCTAGGAGAAAATGTCCAAAACATGGCTTAGCACACATCACAAATTGGGGTTGTGAGAGACATCGGTGTCCTAAATAATAAGCAGTTGTGGATTGTAGAGTATTTCACCTGAGAGGGGAGGACAGGAGAGAAAAGAAGAAAGAGAGGAGAAGGGTGGTGAAGGGAGAAGAGAAGGAAGAGAAGGGAGAAGGAAGAGAAGGGGTGAGAGGAGAGAAGAGAAGGAAGGAGAGGAGAGAAGGAAGAGAAGGGAGGAGAGGAGAGAAGGGAGGA